GAGAGAGAGAGAGAGAGAGAGAGAGAGAGAGAGAGAGAGAGAGAGAAACTCTGAGGCTATGCCCAGTTTTAAGACTTTTAGATGATTAATGACTATATCTAAATAAGGCCAAAATATCCAGATGAGAGTAAAGAGAAAAGTTCAGTTAGTCTTCTACGTGATCTCCCTCTATGTCTGCAAAGACCTGGATATTTAACAGTTGAGTGTATGTAATTGTTTAAATAAAACCATGTATTTCACTGCTATTTTCCGCTTTGAATGTTAATATGGTGCTATAGTATGAGTAACTGCACCAGATAATCACGTATAATTTATCTCCATCTCCATCAAAAACGTGTATCAAATTGTAATTATTTTAGAAAGATAAAAATGTGAGTTGATTGAAAATGCCCTAAACTTTATTTGGTTTGGTCTAAGGATAAAATAATAATGAAGTAATAGTGCAAAATAAATTTACTTGATGCAGTTTTGGCTAATTCTTAACTTTTATAAAATGGAAATGGCTTATTTACCACTTGCATATTTATAAGGCTCTACTTTTAATTTAGGTATGTGTCTTGTGCCCTGGGCTGTCCATATGAAGGAAGCATTACACCACAAAAAGTGACAGAAGTAAGCTACGTCTCCAGCTTTTGTGGTTTATGGTAACATGATATATATTATTTTTAAAAGTGGGCTATTGCTCTTACTGTTTATTGGATCTACATAACATGAACCCATAGATTAAGATAGGAACCCTGAAGACATGTTTGATCACTTAACTAACAGTTTCATTTTAACACTGAAGTCCTGTACATTGACTATAACTTTTCAAAGTTAAGGGACAGTTGAGTCCTATAATTTGGCTGCTCAAAGGTGGAAGGAATAAAAATATGTTTTGTTTTTCTATGGCTGTAATGTAGTGAGTGGGCTTTTCAATCTCCATCAGAACATCCGGGCAGTTTGTGTAGAAACACTTAAACTTGCCTTGGTTGCTTAGGTAGCATTCCTCTTTTTCTCCTGCGTCCGTCGGCCCATTATATCGGAGTAGATACACTACTTCTGTGTTTTTGTTCTTTCACGATTCTGTAGATGTTACTGCTGTGATTAAGTTGCTGCTATTCCAGAACAATTTTACAGCAACAGATTATAGTCATTAAGGCCCTGATTATTAATGTTTATTTTCTTCCTGTCCTTTATTATTAATTTATATCAATGAATATATGTGCTGTCTTTGAGATTATATTAGACTGCCTCAGAAATTTATCTGTATATAAAGTATATTAATATACACCTGTTGTTAAAGTTGTTAGTTATGACAAATTTAATAATGATGTCACCAAAGCAGTGAAGAGTGCCTTCTAAGAAAATCCAAATTTAGGCAGGATATAAACTTTCAGTTTAGCTAAAGCCATTCCTCTTTTGTGCACTCATTTGTACTTACTGCAGATTTTTCCAATGAAAGATATCCTTTTATTTATTTATTTATTTATTTATTTATTTTTGAGACGGAGTTTCACTATGTTACCCAGGCTGGAGTGCAATGGCGCGATCTCGGCTCACCGCAACCTCCGCCTCCTGGGTTCAGGCAATTCTCCTGCCTCAGCCTCCTGAGTAGCTGGGATTACAGGCACGCGCCACCATGCCCAGCTAATTTTTTGTATTTTTAGTAGAGACGGGGTTTCACCATGTTGACCAGGATGGTCTGGATCTCTTGACCTGGTGATCCACCCGCCTCGGCCTCCCAAAGTGCTGGGATTACAGGCTTGAGCCACCGCGCCCGGCCTCCTTTTATTTATTACTCACACAAGACCCTTGCACACAGAGGCACATATACTATGAAATAACAAAATTCAGCTTTTATAGTTTTTCACTTGCATGGGACCCTTTTAAGGCCCTGTCGTTAATTTACCTTCACAATTGTATTTGTTTTTAAAGAATACCTCCAAAGGGTATAACTTCAGGCTGGCCCACAAAACCTGATCCACCTCTGCTTAGCGGCAGACTTACTTTCTTACTTTCACTGTGCACCACATAGGAATGAACCACACACCCCTTGGCTGAGGATCTCTGTTTCTGTACCCGAATGCCTAAGGTGTTACCGCAGTCATGTAACAGGCAGATAGGAAAAATTCAGGACCAGAAACCTTAAAGGAGCCTTTTGTGTCATCCTAATACATTTTGTGCTCAACTAACTCTCTTCCCTCTGAAATTACTACTTCAAATTGTGATTACTCTGTCTAAGCCTCTGGTCCTTCCTCTCATTGCCTCCCTCCTCAGTTTTTGCTTTCTCATTACACTGCCCTTTATATTTAGCTTTTTCCCTACCTGGAATGTTCTTTGCATTTTATATGTCAGCTGCCTGGAACCCATTAACATTTGCATTTAATATTCTTCCTGGAACATTCTTCTCAGATCCTTCCTTCTCACCCTCTTCAATAAGTCAGTAAGCACTTTATAATAAAGCTTACTTAAATTCAAGTTGTCTATACACATAGAAAGGAACAAACAGTATCAGACTTTTCAAAAATATACCGAAAAGTAAAGAGCATCAACATAATGAAGAATTTATATCAACTAATGGGCAAAACAGCCAGCTAACATCAAATGGCAGTATTAAACTCACATATATTATTATTAATCCTAAATTTTCCCCCAATCAAAAGACACAGCCAAAACCCATCAGTATGCTGCATCTAAATCCATCTCACATGCAAGGATACACAAAGACTCAAAACAAAGGGATGGAGAAAGATTTACCAACCAAATGGAGAGCAAAAATAAATAAATAAATAAAAAGCAGGAGTTGCAATTCTTGCCTCCGATAAAATAGACTTTAAAGCAACAAAGATCAAAAAAGGCAAAGAAGGACATTACATAGTGGTAAAAGGATCAATCCAACAAGAAGAGCTAACGATCCTAAATATATACACACCCAATGCAGGAATACCCAGTTACATAAGACTTATAAAGAGACTTAGACTCCCACACAATAATAATGGGAGACTTCAACATCAATATTAGACAAATCAACAAGACAGAAAATTAACAAGGATATCCAGGACTTGAACTCAGATCCAGAACAAGTAAACTTAATAAACATTTATAGAATTCTCCACTTTAAATACACAAAATATACACTCTTATCAGTACCACATCACACCTTCTTACAGGTTTAAATGAAATATCGTTGGCTGCTTGTTTGTTATTTTCTTCCCTCATTTTTTCCTGTCTCCATTATTAAGCACAATTGTTGGCATAAAAGAGGTTTTCAATACCCATTTTTAGACTGCATTCTAGCCTGGGCAATAAAGCAGCACTCCCGTTCTCTCTCCCTCTTCCTCTTCCTCTTTCTTCCTCTCCTTCATTCTTTTTTTTTTCATTCTTTTTTTCTTT